AGGTGAAACGTCTTCAAGTAGCTTAAAGAAGTCCAGACGCTTTTCTTTGCAAGCTCCTTTGACTACGATGACCTGGATGACTGAGAACCTTCACAGACACGTATTGGGTAGTTTACCTAATCAGTAAGAAAATTACCCAAGTGTGATGGTTCCCAGCTATAACACAGTCCCGAGTGTCACACCTGAGCAGCATACAGCGTTACTCTAAGACACTGAAGCTCAGTCAGACTGATTACTGCATCTTTGCTGCCATGTCAGTTGTATCTAATGGATCTTCTACTATTGTTTTGAACAGGAAAAACATCTCAAAGTCGATATGTGACGCTGAGTACCCAGCCACACGGTCACAGGCCAGAGCTTTTCTAGTGCCCAAGCCCAGGTAAATGAGGAGGGTTGAATTAGGAAGGACCAAATCAAAACATGTGGATCACAAAGAATGAGCTTTCCATACCGGATCGTTCAGGGCCTGGGTCAACAACGACCACCTCCAGTGTTGTTGGCTAACAGGACGCCGGTGGAAACTGTGCTACTGTGGGCCGAAGACAAAGGAAGAGGAAAGGAGGAAGGTGTGTTCATGGTACCAAGACAGGAGGAGAGGCAGGAGTGAGGAGGTGAGATTAGGGACCATAGGTCTGTGATTAGCAGACTGTGACTGGCAAAGGCAGAGAGCTGGCTGATTAGAAGGAAAGAAGGTAGGTAGATGAGTCTACAGGAGAACATGGGCATTGGAGGTTCAAGTTTTTCTACCGTGGCGTAGACACAAAGACAAATAGTGTACGGCTGATCTTGACTAATGTTGTGACGGTAAAGAGTCGGACAACATCATGAGTTGTGTTTGAAGCTGGAAATTGACTGGATGATTTAAACCCCACAGCTGTCAGCTGGCAGAGATGAAGGGGTGGAGTGTCCCCTCAGTGGACATGTAGCTGAAGGGAACAGGTGATGTTAGGCAAGTTTGCTGCTAAAGACAGAAATACAGAAGGACACAATAGTAGGTTTTAGCATGGAAA